CATTGTACCAAAAATAACTAGCCAACACAGAAATATTTCAGGAAGTTTCATATGATCAAGAGCCAATGGTAATGAATGAAGAAGGCCCCCAGGAATCAATGGGATACCAACTGATATGTTTCAAATGACAGATGCAGCCCTGGATGGGCTCACCAGTCTATGCCAGTAAATTTGGAGGACAGCTGTCTGGCTAACCAACTCTAAGAGATTGGTATTTGTTCCCATTCCCAAGAAAGGTGATCCAACAGAATATGGAAATTATTGAACCATATTATTAATTTCACATGTAAGCAAAATACTGAAGATCATTCAAAAAACAGCTAGAACATAGACAGAAAACTGCCAGAAATTCAAGCTGGATTTAGAAGCAGCTATGATGCCAAGTATAGTATTGCTGATGTCAAATGGATCCTGACTGAAAGTAAAGAAAGAATGCCTATTTGTACTTTATTAACTATGCAAACACATTTGACTGTGTGGATCATAAGAAATTGTGGCTAACATTAAGAATGGAAACCCCAAAACACTTCATTGTCCTCTTGTGAAACCTATACCTACACCAAGAGGTTGTGCAAACTGAGCAAAAGAATATTACATAGTTTGTAATTAAGAAAGATGTGCCTCAGGGTAGCATCCTTACTCTATATCAAATTTCTATACTAAGCAAATTATTCAAAAAGTTGGACTCTTATGAAGAAGAATGCAGCATCAGGATTAGAAGACTCATCAATAACCTTTATTATGCAGATGACACAATCTTGCTTGCTAAAAGTGAGGAGGAAGTGAACAGCTTGCTGCAGAAGATCAAAGACTGAAGCCTTCAATATGGATTGAATCTCAATGTCAAGGAAACAGATGGAGAAAAGATTGAAACTGTCAATGACTTTGTCTTACAGTACACTTGGTATCAGCAGTCAGATCAGGAGACCTATTGCACTGGGAAAGTCTGCAGTAAAGCACCTCCAAATTATTGAAAGCAATGGTATCACACTGAGGACTAAGGTGTGCCTGATTCAGGCCATGTCTTTTTAATCACATGCTATGCATCTGCAAGCTGAATAATGAATAAGGATGACAGAAGATTCCTTTGAACTGTGGTGTTGGAGAAGAGTACTGAATATCCCATAGGCTGTCAAAAGAACAAACAGATATGTCTTGGAGAAGGTGCATCCAGAGTGCTTTCTTGCCACTAGGCCACCAGAGCTCCTAACCATGCACATTTTAAGGGAGGTCTGATGGCTTAGTGGTGAGAGCTGCACTCCAATCTCAAAGGCACATGATTTGAATCCACCAGCTGCTCCATGGGAGAAGGATGGGCAATCTTCTCCAGTGGGATTTACTGTCTCTGAAAACCAATGGGCAGGTCTGTTAGGGGTTGGTTATGACTTGACAGTACATAACAACATCAACAACATACATGTGTTAAGGCATCTCAGTGGTGCAATGCTAGGAAACTCTATGAGGCAGTTCTACTATGAATCTAAATCCACTCAACAGTGCATATGTCCGTGTTAAGAATAGGGGTATTTCCCCCCCTCATTTAACAAGTTATACATTAGAGAAAAAGCATTCAAATTAAAAAAAAAAAAACAAAACACCAACAACCGCAAAACAGCCTGGAGGCATGCAAAAATGAAGTCTTACAAGTAGTCAAAAGGTTATGACAACTGACAACTTATGAAAGGAAATGACATTGAAAAAATAAGCAGGGGAGGGGGAAGCAACACAAGAATATTACTGCAAATTGTAAAGGATTGTAAAGTCTACCTGAGTCCTAAAAAGTAAAATGGAACCAGCCAAATTTCCAGTTATGTAAGTTTCCTCAATAAATCAGTCATTTTCCCTTGGCAAAGCAGACCAGAGGATTAGAAAACTCAGCAAATATCAAATTCTCTTTCTGAGAAGAGAGACAACCAAGGTAGCCTCTGTTCAGGAGTGCCAATTTCTGAAACACTGCCAATGGCCATTATACAAGGACATTAAAGCAAAAATAAATTGTACTGGCATAGCCAAGCTGACTAAGCTCTTTCAAAAAGTAGTTATATAATGTGACTGTTAAAAAAGAGGCATATTAATCTGAGAACAAAGTGACTTCCTATCCTCAGTCTCTCAAAAATATAATTTATCCACAAATTAATGGAAAAACTTACTGACTGCAATCTTCAGCAGGCAAAGTCTATTTCATGATGTCCTAGTACTTAGAGGATATACAGTTGGTAGTCTGTAAGCTCTGGGGGCCTAGTGTGTAAGGAGTTACACTGCCAATCCAAAGGCAAACAATTCAAATCATCAGCTTCTCTGAGAAGGAAGTATGGGCAATCCAATGTAGAGCCTCTGGAAACCTGACAAAAGGTAAGGTATGAGTTGGTTCTGACTTGACAGCAATTCATGTTGATTTTCGTGTGTGTATGGTAGTGAAAGAGTGTCAGGAAAAGAAGTTGGAAGCCAGGCAACCCAAGTTCTACTCCTAGCTATTCCACCAACTTCAATGTCCTTGAACAGGTCAGTTTCTATCAGCTACTCAGGAATGGCCAATCATATCATGGCAGTGAATTAATAATCTGTGCTAAAAGAAACTGAAACTTCTGCTGCACTGCAATCCCAGAGGCAAACGGTTTGAATCCACCAGATGCTTTGCTGGAGAAAGAAGGACAATCTCCTCCTGCACCAGTCAAATACGATTTGACGGTACACACAAAAAAATCTAGAAAATAAAATTTAAAAAAAGAAATTGAAACCTGTGGTAGAAAAGATATGAGGCCCAAAAGAGAAAAAAGAAGCATACCCCCTTCAGTATCCCTACCCTGGTATGATTAATTCCTGAAGTCAGTTTCCCTGGGGGGAAAGGAAAGTTCATGTCTGCAATTAATTACAGGGAGGTGCTCAGCGTAATTATTGTTGGTATGTACCACTGAGAGGCAACCAACCTAGAGCTGATCATCCAGTGAGTCTGCAGAAGCAGTAAACTGCACAGGAGGAGACTCTGCCCATCTTTCTCCTTTGGGAGTAGCTAGTGGATTGGAACCACATGTCTGTGTCTTTGGGTAGCTCATTAACTAGGTGATCAGTGATATGTTGTGCCCTTGAGCACAACAAAGAAGGGAGTAAATAATTAAAAGCTAAGTGCTAGTTGCTGTCCTTTTTCAGTAGTCAACTAGATAGCAGAAATCTTAGGCATTTGTTGTGGTTTTTTTTAGTTACATCAACAGGAGCTCTGACAGCATAACGCATAACTTATCCAGCAGCCTCTTCCTGCAGTAAAAAGATTTACAACTTTAGAAACCAGATAGAAGATCACTGTGAGTTGGAAACAAATGTGTAAAACAAGTCAGAATGCAAAAGCAAAAATGCTAGGTCCTATCAATTCGCAGACTTCACAATTAAAATTTCACTTAAATTCCAACCTGCCTAGGTTAACTGGCAGACAGGAAAGGCTTTTTCCTGAGGGCTGTGGGATTTTTAACATATCAACAGTTTTGGAAGCTGACAAGGATTTGGCAATGTTTCGTTTAGTTATACATAAAGTCATTCAGAGTCAATGAAAGCTGACTCAAGAGCAGCTAATAGCCATAGCAATTCCTTTCCTTAGGGTAGCTTGAAGACCTTAAGATGCTCTCATCTAATACTAGGATGGTTGTGATTCAAGGTCCATGTTATTTAGGAAAATGAGGACACAGGTGTTTCCCACAGTAAGTGAATGGGTTCTTACAGCCATCTTCCACAGGAAAGCAGAAATAGCTATTTATAACTGCATACTGAACATAATGAAATTAAAGGCAAGGGGAAAGCAATATTAAAAGTTTCAGAGCCTTGATGTGTTTAAGCTGGAGTAAAGGAAGATCCCTCACTAGTTTATATATCTATTACTACCCAAAATATGACCTCACTTAAACCTGCACAAATTGGGAAAGGTGCTGGATCACACCATTCACATGCCTACCCAAACAAAGGATGACTGCAAATACTTATAGTGCCCAAAAGCACCACCCTTGGATTCTGTTAATAATTTATATAAACAATCGAGTACTCTAGTTACATACCTAATTATCCTGCTCCTGACATGTACATACGCACCACATAGTATTATAAAGATAAATGTAATTGTTCCATACACTATACTAGTGATTCTGGAAGATAAAGAAGTAACCAGTGCTCTATAGGTGTCAAGTGAAAGATTCTACCTAAAATGCATGTGAGAGCCCTTCCTACTTCTAACATCCTGCTTCTCTAACAACACGTGTGGGTGAGGCTAGAGGATTGCAAGAAAGAGCTCTACTATCTTGATGCAAGGTCCTGTGGCCTGGAGTTCAACCACATGGCAGGAAAGCGCAGGCCTGTTACATAAGCGCTGCAGGACTTGCTCGGTTGCGCCAAGCCCAGTTCTGCCCCACCTTGTTATTGTCTCGGCCCTATCTCTCTCTCGATTTCTATTATATTCACAGCGACCTCATAAGGCAGAATAGAACTCTCTGCAGTGTTCCCAAAGCAGTAAATCTTAAAGGAAGTTGACTTTCATTCTATAAGCCACATCTTTCTCCCATTGAGTAGGTGTGTTCTAGTCCTCGACCAGAGTAGTTTCATCACTGTGCCACCAGGGCTCGTTCCTCAACTCTTTCGGGGTTTTATATCCTGAACATTTAAATCAATACCCTAGAGAACATTCCCATTCTTGTGGGTTGTTTCCCATTCATCTGGGATGTTCTAGGGCAATGGGGGATGGGAAATTAATCAAATGACCTCTCAAGGTCCCTTCCTTCTGATTTGTTAGATAAGTATGAGGCTCCATTTCGCCCACTCAGAACTGCATTTCAGAAACAGAAAGGAGGGCGAAATAGGTCTCAACAATCAAACCCCGGCTCAGCCTCGACCAAAGCTGAGAACAGCCCCGCCCCAAGCTTAAGACCCCTGGAATTGAGCTGAGAACTTAAAGCCACTTTGAGCAGACGGGCAGACAACTCTCTCCAGTTCCCAGCGCCCACGGGCAAAACACGCTGAATTACCTCATGACTACTCGCTTCCCTTTTACGTCCAGCTTGTCCAGAGTTAGCTTGTTAGAAAGAGACATCTTGGATATGGAGAGGAGGTGACTGGCCCTGGGCTAACAAAGCAGCAGCAACAGCGAAATCCAAAAGGCTCCTGTGACAAACCAAGAGCAGGACACAGAGTAGGACCTTGCTGCGCCTCTTGTCGCTCCTCCCCCCAGCTCCGCCCTTTCCTAGCCGGAAGGGTCCTGAGGGGGTAGAAGAGCACCGCTATTGGAAGGAGCCTAAAGGAACCGGAACTCTGTCATTGTTCTGAGGCGTTACCTCTCTGGAGTAGGCTTGGTGGGACGTGCAATTTCCACAAGTCACGTCCTGCACGCTGCATTCAGCTGGAAACTTCCGTGCTCAGGGAAAGGGCCTGGGAGGTGGAGCCTCCAGGCCTGGGTGGAAGGGTAAGAAGCTGGGTAGGTTTGGGATGTGATTGTGCTGAGGCTACCGGTGGCACTGCGCTGTTTCATCCTTTAGAGCAACTGCAGTGCGGCTCTAAATGATTGCCATTCCAGAAAGAGAAGCTCACAACAGCCTCAGGAAAAGCGCCACCACTGCCCCGGTGGAATTCCCAGCCGCCTTACCAAGATCAGTGCAAATATAGTTTCCTTTTGGAAAGCCCATAGCTTTCTTTGTCCCCAAATTAAATTCTCTATACGGTTGTGCTGCAGCGTGACCTAACTTCATAATGGAAATTATAGGCAGCATCGTTGTTAGGTCTTCGCAATGAACGTAAGGCCAAGGACTCAAGGAAAGGACCAGAGAAAGAAAGGAAGCTAAAGAAGTTTTATTAAGGGGTCTCCCGGGCGGGATTCCTTGGTCTGCAAAGAGAGAAACAGGCAGAGGGACAGACCAGGGAAATACCGCAGCCTAAAGTGGATTAGGGCAGGTTTTATAGTAAGGGTCTTTAGAGAAGGGCATCCATCCCATTGTGGTTTAAGGACGGGGTACTCCATGGTAGTTTAATCAGATGAGGGAGGCTGTTCACTCCCTTTGTTGACATGTTGACAGTACTTGAATCCTTTGTTCTCCCTTTGACCTTGGTCCCAGCCTGACAGTTTTTAGGAAAAGAGTTGAGAGAGAGGAGAAGAAGAAAAAAGTGGTCCCAAGAAACGAACAGGCCTGGGAAGAACGCCAAATGACTGTGCAGAGAAATTAAGAATGGTGTGCAGGCAGGCAAAGACAAAGCTCCTTTTATAGGGGCTGTTAAGGACACATAGGGGAAGCCGCAGGCGACTTGAGGACACATAACAACAACAAGAAGATTTAGAGGGGATAGTAATTTGCTCAGGAATTTTAGGGCAGTCCCAGAGCCTTATAAGGATCTGGTCATCTAGTCCCTTTAACAGGATATGGACAGGCCTTACCAAGACATACCAGGCTTTCTCAAGGAATGTTTAGGCCTGGAGGAACTTCGACATTCTTCCTCCAATCATGATATATGGAGAAAAGATTGAAACTGTCAATGACTTCATCTTACTTGAACCCACAATAAGTACACTTGGCACCAGTAGTCAGGAGATTAGAAGACATAGTGCACTTGGAAAGTCGGATATCTCCTAATTATTGAAGAGCAATGATGTCAGTTTGAGGACTAAGGTGCATCTGATTTAGGCTGTGGGCTTTTTAGTCACTTGCTGTGCATCTGAGAATTGGACAATGAATAAAGATGACAGAAGAATTGATTCCTTTGAACTGTGGTGTTGGAGAAAAGTATGGAATATCCCATGGGCTACCAAAAGAGCAAACGGGATATGTATGTCTTGGAGAAGATGCAGCCAGAGTACTCCTTGGAGACAAAGATGATAAAACTTTGCCTCACGTACTTTTGGCATGTTGCTAGGAGAGGCTATTCCTTGGAAAGGGACATTAGGCCTGGAAAGGTAGAGGGACAGCCAAGAAGAGGAAGACCCTCAACCAGGTGGATTGACATAGTGACTGCAGTGGTAGGCTCAAGTGATCAGAGATTGTGAGGAAAGCAGAAGATAGAACAGGGTTTGGAACTGTTGTTCATAGGGTTGCTATGAGTTGTACTCAGTTGGTGGTGGCCTAGTGGTAAGAAGCTGTGCTGCAATCCTGAAGACATGCAGTTCAAATCCACCAGCTGCTTCACAGGGAGAATGGGAAATCTTTGCGATTAACTGTTTCTTAAAACTCACTGGGGGCGAGGAAGGGGGGACATGGAGGAAAATGTAACAATGAATGAATGGAAATGGAAAAAAAATATGTTCAAACCTATTAATACCAAATAAAGAATACATTTTTTTTTATTATTGATTTCAGTGAAAATGTACAGAGACTTTGGATTTCCATTCATTCATTGTTACACTTTTCTCCACTCCCAACCCTCCCCCCAGTACAGTACCCTCTTGGAAAAGTAAAAGAAAAAGTCTTTCATTGTTTTACAATCCCTCTTCCCAGGTGCACTCCACTATGCACCCTTCACTCTGGACTCCTGTCGTGACAAAAATACCTAATCACATATCCATTCCTTTAAAACAGTTTTCTCCCTCATCTGTTTCAGTGAAGTATACATTATTGAACCTGTCTTTCTCAGTCTCCCCACAACCCCATTGTCAGTCCTGTTTTACAACAGTGGCACCATGCAGTATTTGTCCTTTTGTGACTGAGATACTTCACTCAGCGTAATGTCGTCCGGAGTCACCCATTTTGAATAATATTGCATAAGTCCTTGTTTTTCAAAGCACCATAGTATTCTATTGTGTGAATATACCACAGGTTCTCTGTCCATTCGTTTGTTAATGGGCAGTTAGGTTGTTTCCAATTCCTTGCTATTGTGAACAAAGCTGTGATAAACATGGGTGTGCATATATCTGCTTAGGTGGCAGTTATGGTCTCTTTGGGATATATTCCCAGTAGTGGAATTGCTGGGTCAAATGCTATCTCTATTTGCAACTTTTTGAGAAAGCGCCATACCCCCTTCCACAGTGGTTGCACCATTTTACACTCCCACCAACAGTGAATAAGGGTTCCAGTTTCTCCACAACCTCGCCAACATTTGTTGCTTGCTGTTCTGTTAAATTTTGCTATTCTTACTGGGGTGAGATGATATCTCATAGTTGTTTTGATTTTCATCTCTCGTAGAGCTAGGGACTTTGAACATTTCTTCATGTGATTGTTGGCCATCTGAATGTCTTCTTTGGTGAAGTGTCTGTTCATATCCTGTGCCCATTTTTCAACTGGATTATTTACCTTTATCTTGTGGTGCTCAAGTATTTTATAAATTCTAGATATAAGTCCCTTATCTGATATGTCATTACCAAATACTTTTTCCTAGTCTGTGGCTTCCCTTTTTACACTGTTGGGAGAAGTTTTTGGATGTGCATAGGGATTTAATTCTTAGAAAGTCCCATTCATCTATTTTATCTTCTCCTGGTTGTAGGAGTATACATTCTCTGAAAACAAAACGAAACAAAAAAACACTTGAAGACCAGCTACGGTCAATTCCAACTCTACAGCATACAACAACAACAACTTAAAAAGTCAGAAAAAAAAGCCCAAGTTGTCTTTGCCACCACTCAAATAGCAAACATGACTTTCCTACATAATAAACTTATTTATTGTTCATAAAACTCAGAAGTATGTACTGTTAGCTTCTTTTATGGATGAAGTAACTGATGTATAAAAGAGGTTTAGTGATTTTATGAGGAATGCAACCTGTAAATATTAGATTCAGGCCTAGGAAGTCCATGCCTTGAGTTCATACAATCAACCACTATGTGTACTACTTCAAAGACATAGGAAAAAAGATTAATTCAGAATAAAATTATACTGGTGGTGAACATGTTACCTGTCTGGCCACTAAGAAAAGGTCTGCCATTTCTGGAGAAAAATGGGTAGTCTCTTTCCCTAAAGATTTACAGCACAATGGAGGCTTGTTGTGAGTTGGAATCAGCTCCACTGAAGTGGGAACACAGGTAGCAAGACACAATTTTAAATTAAAAGATAAATGTGTCTTTTATCCTGCCACTGCATCTCACGAGAAATCTCATTTGCAAATTACTATTTGTAGTTACTCTGTTTTTGAAACCTACATGGACCTCCTCCCAGGAGAGGAAGGCCCTCTCTGAGGTGGATTGATTCAGTGACTGGGATAAGGGATGGGAGTGTCAGAGACAGTGCGATTGGCACAGGACAGAGCGGAGTTTAGGGCTGTTGTACATAGGGTCGCTATGAGTCGCAGGCGACTCGACGGCACATAACAACAACAACAACATGGACCTCCTGGCCTTCCCATGATCACTTCTGTATGTATTTCCATTTAACATCTATTTCATTCCTCCTGGGTACTTCTGGTAGTTAGAAGCAATTCCTTTTTATTAGATAGCCTAGCAACCAAAGACATCATCAAGTAAAGCAAAGCAAGCAGCCTGGACTGAAATACTGGCAATTACTGAGGACTTTCTGTATACTTTAATGACCTAATTCAAAGTGAATTTCACTGCTAACCCAAAGGCCACACCTCCTTGCTGTGAGAATGCACCAGTGGCTCTGTTTGTAGAAAATGGGCAATCTCTTCCGCTGCAATGTTACAGCCTCCAAAAACTCAACTGAAGGGTCAGCTATGAGTTGGTTCTGAGGGAATAGCAATGAGTTATAATAGTTTGGAGTGGTGATGGGTTTAGTTTTTGTTTGTTTTTCCTTTGACTCTGAAACTTCGTCTGACAAATTTTGGACATGTTGCAAGGAAGGACCAGTCCTTGGAGAGGGACATCGTGCTTGGGAAGGTGGAGGGACAGGACAGGAGAGGAAGACCCTCTATGAGGTGGATTGATTCAGTGACTGGGGTATTGGGGGTGGGTGTGTTGGAGACAGTGAGACTGGCACAGGATAGATCAGGGTTTAGGGCTGTTGTACATAGGATTGCTATGAATTGCAGGTGACTCGACAGCACATAACAACAGCAACATATGCCACACACTGTGCTAACCTCACATTTACTACAAAAAAGAGCTTTGTGTACTGTTATTTTACTGAAGAGGACATTGACATACAGTGTTGTAGCAAGCAGAAT